GCCTTGAGCTGAAGAGCTGAGGGACAGCGCCCAGGCCCAGAGTTCAGGCCCCACAACCGGACCCAGAAAAAAAAAAATGCCCTCTGGGAACCAAACTCTAAAAAAGTATCAAAAGTTGCTAATAAAGGAAAAAGTAAAAATTACAAATAAAAAAAAAAGCTGGAAGAGGAGGTGTGCTTAAGTGGGCGATCACTAGCCTTGAGAAAAAGCAGCATCCAGGAACAAATGCAGCAGCAGTATTCACTAGACACTACGTTGAAAATGAACTAAACAACTTGTGGGTGGGGCTGGGAGGGAAAAACTGGAAGAGATGGAAGGGGTGACACCGTCCAAAAAGAAACACACTCATTATCTGACATAACTATAACCCCTCTGTACACCACCTTTATAACAACAACAACAACCAAAAAAACCAGGCACCTGTGGCTCAGGCCTATAATCCTGCCCAGGGCAGAAGGGTCCTTGGGAGACTCTTATCTCCAATTAACCACTCAAAAGCTGGAAGTGGAGCTGTGGGTCCTGGTGGCAGGGCACTAGGCTTGAGCAGAAGAGCTCAGGAACGTGTCCAGGCACTGAGTTCAAACCCCATGACTGACAAAAATAATAGCAATAAAAATTTTAAAAAGCAGCACCCTATTGGGTGTCAGTAGCTCACACTTGTAATGCTAGCTACTTAGGAGGCTGAGAGCTTAGGATCGAGATTAAAAGCCAGCCTGAACAAGAACATCTGTGAGACTCTTATATCCAATTAACCACCAGAAATCTGGAAGTGGCGCTGTGGCTCAAGTTGTAGTACACTAGCCTTGAGCTGAAGAGCTGAGGGACAGCGCCCAGGCCAATGTCAAACCCCATGACAAAAAAAAAAAAGACAATGAGAGTCTCTAATTTTTGTTTTTGTTCCAGTCTGGGGCTTGAACTCAAGACCTGGGCACTATCTCTGAACTTTCTGTTGTTGCTGTTGCTGTTGGTGGTGGTAGGGCTTGAACTCAGGACCTGGGCATTGTCCCTGAGTCTCTGTGTGCTTAAGGCTAGCACTTTACCACTTGAGCCACAGTGCCACTTCCGGCTTTTTCTGAGTAGTTTATTGGACATAGGAGTCTCACGGACTTTTCTGCCCCGGCTGTCTTCAATCTTTGATCCATAGACAGGAGCCTCCTGAGGAGCTAAGATTATAGGTGTGAGCCACACGTGTCTGGCTGTAAAGCCTCCCTTACCCTTTTGTTGTTGTTTCGTCGGTGCTGGGGCTTGAACTTTGGGCCTGGCAGCTGTCCCTGGGCTGTTCAGTTCTACCGTTTGAGCATCAGCCCCACTTCTGGTTTTCTGGTGGTTTATTGGCGGTAAGAGTCTCACGGACTTTCCTGCCCGGGCTGGCTTCGAACCGTGATCCTCAGAACCGGGATGACAGGCGTGAGCCACGGGCGCTGCACATTTCATCAATGAGAAAGGATCAGCGTTACCTCCTCGGGCGCTCAGGCCGTCCTTCTAGAACCGTCTCTTAGCCCGGTCAGCGTTGTTTCCACGCAGAGATGGGGTCCGGCCGAGGCCGTCCGGGATGGGAGCTCTGCGCAGTCGTTGGCTGCGGCGGGCTCGGCGCGGTGGTCGGGCGGCCCCTGCGGCCAGAGCAAGGCTCGGGTTCAGAACCCAGAGCCCGCGCGGCGCG